GTTTCCTCTAAAAATAAAATGTCAAATACACATATAACACCTGGAGAACTAGTTAAAACTGGTTCTATTATTTCAGAACTTCACTATGGTCCATATTTACGAGATTGGTAGATCTTTTCTGAAGAAAACAATTATAATGATCAAACTTATCCTATTTCTATTCGCTTAGGACTTGAAATCATGATTCAACTTAATAAAAAACATTTTATTATCCATATAGTTCGCAATATACATAGTCAACTACAACCGGGTTATATTTGTGAAGGTAGTAGGCAAAGTAGTAGTATTGTTACAAGTGCTTCTACGGTACTAACATCTGTTTATCAAACAATTTTTGGTACTAAAACAAGATTTTTGGAACTTGCATATTTAGGTTTAAATCAAATTAATGCTGCATAAAAATTGTTGGAAGATATTACTTTTCGTCCCTTTATTGTTAAATTAGAAAACATAGCTATTTATATAGGTTCGCTTGGTAAAATTACATATTTAAATCTGAATAAAGTTGGTTGCAATTATATGGCTACATTATTTTATAAATATAAAACAAAACAATCTGTATTTTCTCAATGTATTGATGGTAATTCATATTCAATTACAATTTACCAGGATAGTAAAATTGTTGGAAAATATAAAAGCAACTCACCCAATACCATTTGGCTTCAAACTGGAATCCTGAAGTCTGTTTCAGACAATAGTTTATTTGCAATAAACCATCCTATAACTTTATATTAGTTAGAACAAGCATATAAAACAAAAGTTTGTCATCAAATACCTGACAAATGCACTCCTGCAGATTGGGATAATAAAACTATTATGAATCATCTATTTGAATTACATTTAAAAAAAGCAGTTAGCAAATCAAATAAAGAATGGTATCAAGTATTTCAAAGTTGAAAAACCTAAAAAAGTAATATAATTGAACTTCATACCCATATTAAAAAAATATATGGACCAGATCATGAATTCCGAAGCCATGAATTGTGGTCATGGTGTGTAATATTTCGTGCAGCAGGATGTACAGCAATTATTCCGTATGAAAAAAAAATCTCAGAGATAATTAAAATCAATTATATAAATACATAGAATCTTATTCTATTTATATTGACAATTTTTTTTTTTTTTTTCCCTCGCAATGTCGCGAACAGACGAATTTTTATTAGGAATTTATATAGTACATTACTACTACCTACAATTACGCCAGCCCATAACCTCGTGCTGCTACATTTAAAGATCACCCAGATCTACATGTGTTACACTACTTGTGCCCTAATTCTATAGATAACCCAGTAGGGTTCTCACACTTACCTGGTTACCCTAGGGAGGGTGTAGTATATACCCCCCTAATCTTTCTATGTCCTACACATTTCCAGACTAGGTTTTTTCGGTAACTTACGCCGAGTCTGAGAACAAGTACTTGCAAGCCGAAGCTGCTACAGTTACCTACTACTGCCCTTGTAGAGTTCACCCAAACCCCGGTACCTACTTTATGGACTCCCTCCCATACCTCCGGAAACCCAAACTCCCAATCCTACAGCCTGGAAGAGCAGACCCTTCCTCCGTTTTTCCCTGTCGGCCTGGTTGGTATAGTGCTTTTGCCAAACACCTCGGTTCTGTCCGGTTTTCCGATATCCAGTTAATCATCCTTTACATAGTAACCGTTGAAGATCTGTACTACCTTTCCACTCGGGTCTTGCCAAGCAGGCTTCCGTATCCTGTAAATTCGCTGTATTTATCTAGTAGTTTCACTCAGGTTTTGTGTAACTCGTACATCACACTACATATTCTACTACCTCCTAGTACAAGCTGGTACGACCACCATTACAGGTTCTACAACCCAATAGGATACAGTCTTCCAAATGCATTTCCTATAATTCGAATTTTTGTCGCTGGTGGGATTCGAACTCTAGTCCTGCTGCTTAAGGGTGCGACAACTTGCCAACTTCACTAAGTCATCGCACCCCATCCAATTTTTCAAATGCAGTATTTTTAAAATTCATTAGGGCAATATGGGTTGCATGTAACCCACAAGGAATTCGAAATGACTTGGATGCTGCTAATGAATTAAATTTAGCAATTGCGCCGTTATTCTCTGAAGACATATAGGCGGTATTATCTGTTAGCCAAAAATGACATTTTTGGGAGTCAATTCCTTTTGTTTACATGTTTTGAATACTGTAGTTGAAACCATTTCAGCATTACAATATGTTATATCAGTTAATTTTGCTACGGTAATTATTAGTTTATTCTTCATGACATTCCAGTACGAAAAACAAATGATTAACACCTTCATTTCTCCCCATGTACTTTTGTCAGCCATAATTCCATAGCCAAAAAATCTAGACAAAGCTTTATTAGTCCGATTTTGATTAAAAGACACAGCGGCTATTTCATTATTCCATCATGATAGAGTTGATGATGTTACCCAATGCTGTGGCATCTTTCCAGTCAAGAATTGATATATGATTTTAGTACATTCGACCATTGCACGTATAGAGGTTTGTCCTATATTACTTATATCAGCAGCTAATTTAACAAATTTAGCATTATATTCTTTATTATTAACTTTAAATAATTTGTTTGCTGCACATTGAAATTGGGCAGGTCGAATTTGTTTTGCTTTACGAATGGCTGATCAGATTTTTGAGATTTGGTTTTGTTTGAATTTTTTTGCTCTTGCAACTTTTATAGAAAATGAACGAAGTAGTGTATTAGTAGAAAACTTATTTCTTTTTAAGCCCTGATTTTTATATTTTAAATTTTTATGTTTTAATTCTAGTGCTTCAATAGTACTATTATGTTTATAAAGACTAACATCAACAAATTCACGAGCTTTGTTTTGTAGATATATAGAAATTATCTCTTCTTTATTAATTCCTCGGGGATAGGTCATAGTTTCAAAAAGATTTAGCGCATCTAATATTTGACTGTCAGGTAAATTACAAACTCAAAGTAATATTTCGTTGCGTTTTCTCAGAATATGAGTATTCATTTCCTGGGATTCAAAGATTTTTTTTATTTTATAACAGAAATCGGCATCATTTAGTTGAGAGAATGTCAGAATTAGGTGATCAAGCAACTTGTTTTGAACATAAACGTTCATTTTTCGCAATTCAAAGAGATTTTCTATCCTAGAAATGAAATCGTTATCATTTAGCTGGGCGAATGTTGAAATTAGGTAATCAAGCAACTTGTTTTGAATATTAAAACTCATTTTTCAAGATTCAAAGATTTTTTTTATTATAGAACAAAAATCGTCATCATTTATTTGCATGAATGTTAAAATCAAATGATTAAGCATCATTAGGGGATTATTTTTAATATTTTGAAATATTTTCCATTGTTCATATTCTTGTGACTCTCAACAATTTTTAAGTTGTTTCTTTCGTGAATTTGGTCGACCCATTATGGAATATTATAAATAGTTTAATTATAGTTATGAAATATGACTGGATTCAAAAAAATGATTCTTTGTGCTTAGAATTATTGAATTTTATAAGAGTGTAAGTAATTTATTATTTATCTATCAAACTCATTACTCTCTAATACAAACTCATGCCCTTTTTATAATACTTCGCAAAATCATAGAAATAATAGAAACTATAGAAATCGTGAATCAAAAGTTGCAATTGATAATTAAAATAGTATAATTAAAATAGCATATATTGGAATATTACTAAAAGACAAAAATTACATAATTGGGTTTAAAGAATTGATTATTATTGATTGTTTTGATATTTACCGTAAAAATGCATATACTAGACCTGGGTCTCTTACATTTCACCCAAAAAATTAATTAGTAAAAAAAAAGAAAGCAATTAATAAAAAATAAGGGCGGGTTTGACATATAGGAGGATCTTGTATATGTACTTTTAAAGTAGACGCATTACAAGTATATTTAAATTTATATTCACATTATATGTAATAATAATAACACGTATTTTCTTTTAATAAATTAATTTATCATGAAAAATGTGTGGGTTGTTTTAATGTTTTTATAATAAATGATAAAAAAAAGCTAGCTGTGTTATTTAAATTCATATATGTTTTAATAAATTGATGCAATTTTTATTTTTATCTTTATTTTTTTTTTTTTTGTAGCAAATAAAACAATATATTTCATTATTTTACATATGGTAAAGGGGTTAATAATTACTGAGAGATGAATTATTTCTATCGCACATACTTTAAAAATAATCTATATAGAAAAGTAACACCAGGCAAACTTTTTATTTAATCAAGTTTGAAAAAAATCTAAAAATGCTCTTGATTCGTAATGATTTAACAGTTTATTATAAACAAAGTGTATAAATAAGTTAAATACAATTTTAATATCAAAATTCTTTTAGGAATTTTAGAAGATTTTTATGCAACTTTATTAGAGATTTAATAGTGATTATTATCCTGATATGCAATTATTATCCCAACACACGATTATTATTCCAATGCGCGATTATTATCCCAGCACACGATTATTAAAACAAGCTAATTATAAATACAAATTTGGAAATTGCTTAAGTCAATAGAGTTATAAATCTATTAGCGTATTGATACGCATTAATGGTTCTCTAAATAGAAGATATATATCTGAAAAAATACACCAACTTTCGTTATGTAATACAAAAACTTTAAATAATTTTAACCAAAATTATTTCAATTGATATTCATACTTTTCATATTTATATCAACAAAAAATCTACTAAAAATGCATAGCCATATTCAAAAGTGTAAATACCGAAATACTAACCTTGAAAAAGCAATTACACGCATCTATAATAATATTGGTCTATTAAAACACTTAAAGCATATCTATATCTACTATATTTATAGCGACAAAATGAACTACAAATGTATCTATCCATATTTATATTAGTAGAAACTAAAAAATAGTATTCTGGCACATTCGAAGTGTGAACTCTTGGAATAATTCTGAAAAGAAAATTAAACATTGTTAGCGTGATAACAGCTTTAAACAGATATATCAGTCAATACTATTTTCCATATTTATATCGACAAGATGAATCATTTAAATAGCATACCAGTCATATTCGAATGCATAGATTCTAGTACTAATTCTAAAAAACAATTAAATAGTATTGTTAAATAATAACAGCTTTTAAAACAAAATAATAAAATATAAATTCTTGTAATTGTCAATTAAATTAAAATAAATAAGAATTGCAATACAAATATAAGCAAAAATCTTGCAGTGTGAATTGAAATCTTTAACTTAATGGATAAAAATTTTCGATTTCTGCTATTTTGCCTCTTTTAGCGCGTTAAGGATTTTTGAAAGTGTATGATCCTGAATAACGTTTAAACGCCTAATTCGTGATGAAACTTTTTAGTATTTTTTGATGATTAAAAATTAAAATATATTATTAGTTTAACAATAATTT